ATCACCGGAGCTATTGAAGAGGAGGAGAAGAGGCCGAGGGCTGAACCGGACGAGGACGTGGAAGACTTTGCGCTCGATCCGGCCAAGCCGGAGAGAGTCGTGAAGATTGGAGTCCAGCTCCCCGAAGACTTGAAGACCGGCATCATCAACGCCCTCCGCGCCCACTCCATTGTTTTTGCGTGGGGACCGGAAGACATGCCGGGGATCAGCCGAAGGGTCATCACCCACCGCCTCTCGGTGGACCCTTCGACCAAACCAGTACAGCAACGGAGAAGACCCCTCTCCGCCGAGAGGAGGGAATTTGTGAAGAAGGAGGTCGCCATGCTCCTCTCTATTAAGCACATCAAGGAGGTGAAATACCCCTCATGGCAAGCAAACGTGGTCCTCGCACAAAAGCCTCCCACCTTCTGCATGTGCGTGGACTACACGAACCTCAACAAGGCGTGCCCCATGGACCCCTTCCCTTTACCAAACATTGATGAATTGGTAGATGAGACCGCGGGGTGCGAAATCATGTCCTTCCTCGATGCCTTCTGAGGGTATCACCAAATTTTCATGCACGAGGAAGACGCCAAAAAAACCACCTTCATGACTCCCGATGGCATCTTCTGCTACCTGGTGATGGCCTTCGGCCTAAAAAACTCTAGCGCCACTTGCACCCGGATGGTGGCTAGGGTCTTTCAAGCCGTCTTAGGGCGCACCACGGAGGCTTACGTGGACGACATGATTGTCAAGAGCAAACAATCCTCCAGCCATGCTGACGACCTCTGGGAGATCTTCGCCATCATGCAGAAGTTCAACCTTCGGCTAAATCCGAAGAAGTGCACCTTCGGCGTGCAAGGAGGAAAATTCTTTGGCTACATGGTGAGCCGAAGGGGTATTGAGGCCAACCCCGAAAAAATTCAGGCCATCATCAACATAGAGCCCCCACGCAACGTGAAGGAGGTCCAACGGTCGACGGGCCGCCTGGCAGCCCTCAACCGCTTCCTGTCGAAATCGGCGGATAAGTCCTTACCCTTCTTCCAGATCATGAGGAAAATTGTCGGCTTCCAATGGACTTCGGAATGCCAGGAGGCTTTCGACGAACTGAAACGATATTTATCTTCACCCCCTGTGCTCTCCAAACCCAAGGTAGGGGAAACCCTGTACCTCTTCCTTGGTGTTAGCCCGACGGCCATCAGCTCAGTACTCATCCGGGAAGAAGACGGCGTCCAGCATGCCATATTTTATGTCAGCAAGACCCTCAGGGAAGCAGAACTCAGATATTCCCCTGTGGAAAAGACAGTGTTGGCTATCGTTTGGACCGTCAAGAAGTTGGGCCACTACTTCCAAGCTCACCCGGTCCAGGTCCTCACTCACCAATCCCTCGGCGCTCTGATGAGGAGCCCCACCAGCTCCTCCCGAATGGTAAAATGGGCCATCTTCCTAAGCCAATACAACATCGATATCTGTCTGAGGCCCGCCATTAAGGGCCAAGCCCTAGCGGACTTCGTGACGGAGTGCACGGCAAGATCAGCCACGGACGAGGAGCCCTTGGCTCCCTCGGACGATTGGTGGACCCTCTACACCAACGGCTCCTCCGCTATCAAAGCATGTGGAGGAGGGGTGGTTCTCATCTCACCCGAAGGCTTCCGGGCCTATTATGCAATCCGCTTCTCCTTCAAGGTCTCCAACAACGAAGCCGAATACGAGGCCCTCCTCTGTGGCCTTCGGCTGGCAGCTAACATGAAGGCCAAACAGATCCACGTCAAGTGTGACTCCAAGTTACTCGTCGGCCAAATTTCCGGAGAGTACGAAGCCAAGGAAGGAAGAATGAAGCAGTACAAAGAGGCGGCCAAGGAATTGCTTAAGGTATTTGAGGCACACTCTCTTACTCAAATACCGAGGGCTCAAAACTCCGAGGCTGACATTTTATCGAAACTCTCGGCCGAATCCCCTGAGCATATCTCAAATATTGCCAAAATCGAGGAACTCAGCCTCTCCAGCATACATGCTAGTCCCGTCATGCACATACAACAAAGGCAAGAGGACTGGATCTCAGATATTGTCGCCTTCATCGCCACAGGGCAACTGCCCGAGGATGAGGCCCGTGCCAAGCTAGCAAAGCTGAGGGCTCCCAGCTACACCATCGAGGACGGAAGGCTTTACAAAAGATCATACAACGCGACGCTACTTCGGTGCCTTCATCAAGATGAAGCCGAGGTTGCGATGGAGGAGGTGCACAGTGGCACTTCCTCAGCTCACCAGGGACCCTTCTCCATGTCCCGGAGGCTCATAATCCAAGGCTACTTTTGGCCTACAATGGTCCGGGATTGTGCGGATCTCGCCCGAAGGTGCACCACATGCCAACACTTCCAGAACGCCCCCGGCAGGCCAGCGGTCAACTATGCCCTTGCCGAGGGGTACCTCCAACAACAGGTACATCATCGTCGCCATTGACTACTTCACCAAGTGGGTGGAAGCTGAGCCCCTCGCAAGCATCACCGAAGCCAAATGCCATCATTTTGTTCTCAAGAACATCCTCACAAGGTTTGGCGTCCCCCAGCAAATCATCCCCGACAACGGGACTCAATTTGAGGCAGCCCCCTTCTGTGCCCTCCTAGAGGCATGGGGCATCAAACACACCTTCTCCTCCGTTGCCTACCCTTAGGGCAACGGCCAAGTAGAGAACGCCAACCGGATCTTGCTCGAGGGCCAAAAAAAGAAGCTGGAGGCCAAAGGGGGAGGATGGGTAGAAGAACTCCATAACATCTTATGGGCCTACCGCACCACCCCTCGGCGGGCAACAGGTGAAACACCCTTCTCCCTTTGCTACGGATTTGAGACTAAAGCTCCTACGGAGGTGACCCTTCCTACCCGAAGGGTGATCCAATATGACCCCGAAGTCAACAACGCCAACATGGCCCTCGACCTCCACCTCATTTCAGAACGCCGAGAGCAAGCCTTCGTGCGAGCGGAAAACTACCGAAGGCAAGTCAAAAGCTACATCGATGCCAAGGTTCGCACTCGAGAGTTCCAAGTGGGGGACTATGTCCTCCGAAGGAGGGAAGCTAGCCAACCGACCGAGGGAGGCAAAATGGCACCAAAATTTGAGGGCCCGTACATCATTGCAGCCGTCATCAAACCAGGGACTTACAAACTCAAACGCCCCAACGGGACCGAGGTCCCTAGGCATTGGAATGTACATCACTTAGTTAAATTCTATCAATAACATTAGAGCGGCCAAGCCCTCATAACTAGTGAATGTATTATTCTATGGCCCAAGGCCTCCAATTTCTAAAGAATGAAGGCATGTTGAAGACACCAAGGACGAGAAACAAGACCCTTATGAGCGGTCGAGCCCTCACACGAGTTCCTGGCCCCAGGCCTTATCACATGCAAGACCCCTCGGCATCAAGCGCCGAGGGTAGACGTTACTATCACCTACAACGGTGGAGAAAACACCAAGTGTTTTCAATGAAGACCCCTCAGCACCAAGTGCCGGGGGTACACTCTCCCTCTACCTACAACGAATGAAGAAAACCACCAAGTGTTTTTCAAAGAAGGCCCTTCGGTACCAAGTGCCGAGGGTAGACACACCAATCACCTGCGACAAATAAAGAAAAACACCAAGTGTTTTCAAAGAATAACACCAAGGGTGCACACCCCATCAACACCAACAGAATAACACCCAGTGTTTTTTGAAGACCCCCCGGTACCAAGTATCGGGGGCCATTTACCGGAACAAACACCAAGTGTTGCTTCAAATGTCGTACCCCTCGAGGACGCACTATACCGAAGGCACCACCTATCGGTGTCGGCAGCACGTAGTGCCCCCGGCCATTTGCAACCAGTGTGCAAATGAAAACCCTTCCTTGAAACGCTTTCCGCGTCACTACCCCAAGGGTATGACAGACAAGTGATATGCCCAGGATTCGACTTTCAAAAACGGAACGCTTTCCGCGCCATTTCCCTTAGGGATTGGCAGGCATCTAATGTGCCCAGGATTCGACTTCCAAACCAAAACGCTCCCCGCGCCACTACCCCAAGGGTGTGGCAGGCCACAGACTATGTCTGGCGCCGAGGGGACGACTTTCAAAACTTAGGCGCTTTCCGTGCCATCTCCCAAGGGGAGGCAGGCTACAGACTATGTCTTATGCCTAGGAAACGACCCTCGATCCCCTCGGAACTCGGAAGGTTAACCCGAGGGGGGAGCTAATGGTGTATTCCGTGCCATCTCCCAAGGCGTGGTACTGAATAACACTTGGAGAAATTTTTTCTAAGTCCTGAATGCTTTGCCCTCTGTCACGTCACCGATCAACCGAAGGCACACCTACAAGAAGGCTCTCACATTCACTCGAAGGCTCCTATATCATACAACTACACTTAGGAAAATTTTCTAAGTCCTAAAAATTGGGCCCTCAGCCCAATCATCATGCATCTGAGGGACCATGGTAACCAAAGGCAACAAGATGGACTACACTTAGAAAGATTTTTCTGAGTCCTAATCGTTTAGCCCCCGTCCAGTACACCATACAAGCATACATTCATACACGAAGGAGGGAAAAGTATGAGGGCATTCATTTCATAAGACAAAAAAAACAGACGAAGGCATAGATTCAAAGAGAAAGACAACTTATATATAAAAGGCCCGAAGGCAGGCATTCATCCATCGGCAAGGAATAAAAAAAATTGTTTACAGTCATGGCCGAAGCCGGAAGCATACAAATGTTTGTTACAAAAGAAAAACTTCTAAGTACAATTAAACATCGATGGTTTCGGAGGCACCCTCTACCGCAGGCTTCGATGTAACTTCCCCTCCGGCCTCCTCTTCGCCCTCAGCGTCCCTCATGAGTTCTGAATCTTCCAGATCTGGCCTCTCAACGTCTGGGGGAAAGGTCACACGGACATCGGGCTGCAGGGGAGGAAGGTCGTATGCTGTCGGGTCAAAATCTTTGGGCTCCATCTTCAAGTGTCGGGCCATCCTCCGGTAAATGAGGGCCTGAGTAAAAAACTCGCCCCCTTCATAATATTCTTTGCCCTTTCGGGCCAGCCACTCCACACCGGGGCCCTCACACCATTCTTCGACGGACGCCTCCGCAACCGAGGACAACCACTACTTGTGACCATCGGCCTTCCAACCCTCCTCCAGAAACTCATCGAGGGCATCCTCCCGCGCCTTGGAGATGGCCTCCACCTTGGCCTCCTCGGCCTCCTCGGCCTCCTCGGTAGTTTTCTTGAGGGCTTCAGCAGCAGACCTCTCGGCTTCGGCTTTGCCCTGGTTAGCTGCCTCTACTTGCAGCGTCTTCTGCCGAAGGCTCTCCTCCAGCTGGGCCATCTGCCTTACGGCATCAGCGTTCTGATGGATCAGCTGCTTCATCTTTTCATCCTGCTCGGCCTTATGAAGGCGCCACTCCTCCAACCTCCGGGACTGATCCCTGAGGGCAATGCAAGCCTGCAAACCAAGAAAGAAAACAATTAGAGCAACCATGCGGAGATAATCTGAGGAAAAAGGGAAGGGGGCAGAGGAAGAAGTACTTACAGTTAAGGAAGACCGAAGAATCTTGTCTTCGAGGGCGGCGTCGTCATAAGCGCCGAGGACTGACCTGTCCATCCCGGCAGCGATGCTCCTCAAGAACGCCTTCGAGTCGACAACCTCCAGGGGGTGGCTCCCGATGGAGCCTCAGGAGCTGACGCCGCCACGACCGAGGGCTCAGAAATCGGCTGGTCATCGACTATCACGATCGGGGGAGCCTTCGTCCCGGTCTCCTGCTTCTTCGCCTTCTTGTTGAAGGCGGCGGCCTCCCTGCCGGCTGCTTTCCTCTTAGCAGCACCGACGACCTCATTCGCGGGCAAACTCAAGGGCACAGAACCCTTCGGCTCTTTGACCGATTTCTTCTTCAGCCCGATGAAACCTTTGACATTCATTTTCGACACCGGAATACCTGCAAGGCAACACATGAAGGTAAGGTCGAGGGGTCAAACATGAGAAACGAAATAATGCAAAAAATCCTAAGTACGAAATGCGAGGCCCTCAGAAGCTACCTCCTGTTCCTCCGACGGCGCTGTCCAGGATAGGGAACTTCTCATCTGTTTCCCCCAAGAAACGATACAGCCGGAAGCCAAGGGCGTAAAGATCGCTCTCCAGGGTACATTCTCTGATGGTTATGTTCTTGTTCCGCCCCTCCAGGATTTTGGCGAGTACAAGCCCATCTTTCTCGAGGGCGGCACTTCTTGCCTTCTCATGGCGCCTGAAGCGGTCCCGCAATTCCCTCGGGAAAGGGCTCTCGTTTAACCTAACATAGCACCACCGCTCTTTCCAACCTTTGTTTGAGGAGGGCGCCTCGGTGAACAGCCTGAACTGGGGGATCTGCTGCAAGTTGGCGAACCCCTCGACGTTTGCATGACCCCCCAGCACAGGTTGAAGCTCTGAAAAAACAGATCTAAGCTAGGCGTCACCCCCCGGGATTTGCACAGGTGAAGGAACCCAGTGATGTACGAGTGGCTATTGGGCGTTAGTTGACAAGGGACCAGGCCCACATACCTGAGATATTCCCGAAGGAACGGGTGCAGTGGAAACCGAAGGCCCATGGACACTGACAAGATGTGAACTGCGATACACCCCTCGGGAGCGCGAGAGAGGACGTCATCAGGTCCCGGTGGCACCACAGTTGCCGAGGGCCCAACGTGCAGCTGGGTGACGTAGTAGTCCGCCCCATCAGCCTTCGACTTTATCTCGAGGACGGCGATATTAAGGAAGGAATAACCCCCGGGCATATCAACGAGTTTCCCTTGGTCAGAAACGCTGCCCTTCTTCTTGGGAGTGGCAACCTTCGCCTTCTTCTTCCCGGGGGCCACCCGGAGAGGTGTCGGGTTCAATGACCGAGAGGTGCTGGCTTCAACGGCACCGCGAGGGGGAGGAATAGCGACAGTCGCCCTCATTCTCTCCTCCTCCCCTTCCTCCTCAGCAGTCTGCACAACGAGGGCGAGATCCTCGTCCTCCATCGCCTGCTCGAAGTCCTCGGCCTCGGCTTCAGTGACGAGGACCTTCTTCATCTCCACAGCCACAGCAGCATCGTCACCCGTCGAAGGCTCGCTCATGGATTCCACATCGGAAACCACTTCATCATCAATCGAGGGCTCCCTCGAGATGTCTTGTGAATCGCTTTGGGATGACATTTCTTACACTAAAGCAGAGGGGTTTCTAAAACCGAAGGCTTACTAAACAAATCTAGCACTTTGCCTAAGGGCGGAGTAGCAAAATAAATGCTAAGGAACTCAAGAACAAAGGGAGCAACTGACCTTGGGGAGCTTTGATTTTATCTGAGGGGGATTTTCTCTCTCTAGAAATCAAATTTCCAGAGCTTCGCTACAATGATCGCACAGGGAGAGCGGCCCCTGGCCTTGGGGTATTTATAGGCACCCAAAATCGGGCTTGGGCCGGAAATTGGGCCCCCGATGGGAAAATCATCATTACGAACCGTCGAGTTGCCCAATCGGTGACGCCCGCCCACAGGCAGCCAACGAGCACACACCACGTGGAGGTCCTCTCCAACGGCTATTTTTTTTTTTAAAAAAAACGCTCCGTATGCCAACGGTCTGATTGCAACGGCTATATTTTGGGGATCACAGAGGTGCTCCCGGCCTGTGCCCCTCATACTACATCACAAGTGCCTTCGGGCTCCCTCCTTCAAAAGCCCACGGCTTAACAACGGGTTTACCCCTCGGGAACCCTCAGCGCTCAATGCATTGAGGGCCAGGAAACCCCGGGGGAACACACCTTCATCAACTGTCGGCCCCGGCCACACGATAAGGAGACCCCTCGGGAGCATCAAATTTAAAACCCCTTTCTAGGCGGACAACCTTCGGTATACAACAACGGACCCCTCGGGTGCCCTCATCCCCAGCTTGCCAACGGCTAGTGGATCCCCCCGACAACATATCGACCACCACTACATTCATCACGCCCTCGATCCCCTGGATTGAGGGACTCCCCTTCGGCATCTCCCGAGATATTAACAAAGCGCCTTCGGCGGATCAACAACACACGCCCTCAGACGAAGATAGCCCTCGACAATGATACTATTATCCGTTTCGAACCAAGGTTTCACCCTTTCGATTCATCATTGGGGGAATTCGGTGCACTCGTTTTCCCTCATTAGAATTTTTTCCCACGGGGTTTTTTCTAATGAGGTTTTTAAAGAGGCATCCCCCCCAAAATGAAACAAAAAGCGTTGGCCTTCGGCAACATGATAACAGAGAGCACTACTCTACTCCTCTTCACCACATTACATGTGCCTCAAGGAGTGGGGGACTGGAGAACCCCTTCGGGAAAATCTCAAAATATCAAAAACTCCCCAAAGTAGCAACACAACCCTTCGAGTCCCAAAATGTGGGGGACTGAGGGACTGCCTTCGGCAAAACTTTCAAACAGAAAACTTCTCACAACTTTACAAGTTACAACGAAACAACGGCAGAGGACAAACACAAATTACTCCTTTTCCCTCAAGTACCTTTCGGCAAAAAGAGTGAGGGACTCCTGATGGAGTATATGGCCCAGGGACCCCCGGCCCATAGACTCCCACTATCCTAATAAAAGTCCAAGAGACCCGGGAAGCACAGCAGACCCAAATCACAGCGCCCCAAGTGCCAAACAGCCCACAACGAGCACTGGGATGCCTTCGGCCCCCTGGCCAAAGGCTCATGGACTTACAACATAGCTTCTTTTGAGCACCCAAAGTGACTGGGAGAAAACAGTAAAAACAGCAGCCCTCGGCACCTAGATCCCCCGGCACCTAGGGTGCCCCCGGAAGGAAGAGCCTTCGGTCAATCATCTACGACCGAAGGCTTCTCCTCGACAGAATCTCCCACCCACATGCGCTGGATCAACGTACCGAGTACAAACGTCACATCTAACCACCGCATTTAATGCGGCCACATGCGAGTGCCAGTGCCACCCCATTGAGGTGACCCCTCGACCACCAGAATGATGACACGTGTCCCTATCTGGCATTTATTACTACTATAAATAGCACCCCTTTTCCCCATTTGTAATCCAAGCTAAAAATGCTCACTACATTCTCAGCAATATACTCTCCCTCTCTTACTTTTGCTCTGACTTCTCTCTAGTTACTCCCCGCAGTAACCCTTCGGATAGATACTCCCTGGTAGACTATCCATCAGGAAGTTTAAAAAAATACAATTAAGAGGAAAGAAAACGAAAAGAAGAAGTAGAATTGAAGTCTCAAAAAACAAGTTGACACAGGAGAATCCACCTCCGTAACTCCATACTACGTCTCTTAGATCCAATCCTAGTGGAATTCACTTCAGACGGCTGGATCAAAAGATGATGGGAAGACTTAATCAGGCTGAAAGTTAAACAAAATCACAAAAATACCAGGATGTACTGTTCTCACCCGTACATCCGGGTGTATCATATACGAACTGGTATTGTGCCACCATTGTTGGACCGATGAAAAACCAAAGGGTGAGAAGGGAAACTCCTAGAACAAGAAAAATACTATGTGTACCCCATTTTTGGTACCCAATTTGTTAAAATTAAAAAAAAAATGACATAGGTTAAAGAAAGAAGAATCACAAGAGTAAACTAGTACGAAGTATGTAATACGGAATATGTATTTTTTTATTGTTATACTTTAAAATTATATTTCTATTAAATAAAATAAAGTTTTTTAAAGCGCGTATGAAATTGGCTGAATTTTGGGTTTTTTCCTTATTTAGTTCTCCGTATAATATCAATTTTTTTTCCTTATTAAACAGTTAAACACATGAATGGTTGGTTTACGTTTACAATTCATTCATTCTCAGCAGACTTCAAATGTTTAAACTTGATCCCTAAGTCAAATCTTTTAGACCATTACATATATATTATGTAATGTCATTATTGTACTTAAAAATTTGTATATGTCTCAGTGACCTTGTTTAGTTAACATATTTTGTAGAGCTTTTAGCTTTATGAATCTCTTTTAATAATTATATACTACGTATAAAATATCCGATATCTCTACTTTACCAGAAGTTAGGAAAATGACACACATACTTTCATTTACACATTTTTTTGTATAAAATTATACAGTTTTTACACATTGAATTCAATCAAATAATGTTTATGTGCATGACAGGAAAAGTCTATGACTAAAGTTTTTTATTTGTGTTGGACGTTTTGTACGCTACATTAAATTTTCTTCAAACAAACATTTTTCGAGTAATAATCTAATTCTACAGATAAGAATACAATTTGGTACAAGATTATTGTGTGGTGAAGAGTTGTAGAGAGGGCATTGAAATGTATCAGAATGTGTAAAAATGGTGTGAATCACAAATACAAATTCTTTACCGAAAAGGAAAATGATAGATTATTTTGAGACGAACAAAAAAAGATTATTCAGATAAATACATATTAACAATGTGGTACATTACTCTTTCTCAAACGAAGCCATATATCAAACTCAATCCAACTAACACAATAAATAATCCAAATTCTATAAGTTATATAAATTCAAGCATACTAACAACGTACATTAACAACCGATATTTCATAACATCAAATAGAAAGAAAATAATCCATAAAAGAAATTTTGAACGAAAATTAAAAAAAAAACTTTAGCAAAAATGATGAAATACCTCGATTCAAACGGTTGAAAGTCGTTAGACTGTAGCACAAAGAACCTCGAGTACTCTGTGCCTCTTTTCCTCGTTTGGACGATTTCCGACTGGAACTCGAACTGCGTCGTCGTTCTTCTCGCAGCAATAGCAGAGGGTTCTTCATTTTGGGTCGGAGTCGTTGGTTGTCGTCTAAGAGGAAGAAAGGGGATATTTCGTTAATTAATGAGCCTCCCGTCGAACTGGCGGCTTTTGTACTTCACATAAGAACCGCCACTTCGAGTGACGGCTTTCTGTAACGGTGATTATTTCCAGCACTATTTCAGGAATTATTCTTAACTCAGCAGTATTTCGAGAATTATTTACTACATATTTAATTAGTATTACTCCAACAAAAAAACTCTAGTATTTCTCGTAAGATTTTAAAGTATGTACAAAATTATATTTAAAGTATGTGCAACATTGTGGGTAAATTCCATCGTACAGCCGGCTGTACTGTGCGCACAGTACAGCCGGACTTTTAATTACCAAATCGCAGGTCGCAGGTCTTCTTCGCAGTTCGCAGGCTTCCATCGCAGATCGTTCTCGATGCTCGTCCTTCGCTCACCGCCAACACAGATGACGATTCTCAACAGCCGCAACTCTTCAGCACGAGCGCATCACCTCAAACTCCGACTTCAGCGGCGGCTCCTACGCAGCACCTGGTGTATAGCCCTAGTTGCTTCTTCTCCCTCTTTCTTGTTTTGGATTTTTCCTTTTTCTCTTTTTCTTACTTAAGTTTGGTGGCCACAGGTTAGAGAAATCTAAGTTATACGTAATTCTTCAGATGTGAGCATAATAAATGAAATTATGAGCATAGTAGACATTTCAAATGAGTTTTATGAATGCTCATTTTGTAATTTATGTATACTCATTTGATATTAGTGTAATACTCATTTTAAATGAACATATACAAATGAATATTGAACACATTAGAAATGAGTTTTATGTTAAACTCAAATGAGTATAACGCTCAAAATGAATGAGCACACACAAATGAACTTTTTAATTATTTGATACTTATTTGTAAGTTATGTATGCTCATTTTGGACTAAAACTTTTTAATAAACGAAAAAATAATAAACAAAATGTGATATATGAGGAATGAAGCAGATATCACTAATGCTCACTTAGGATCCTAATACTCAAAAGAACAGGCTCGGTACTCATCAAAATTGATTTAATACTCATTTAAGAGGATCTGTGATTTTCACCATAATTACAAGTTTGACACCGGTCGTACGGTCGGCAACATATAACCTGCTGTGCCATATACTAATCCAACTTTGTTTGGGTGATGGTGGATACCCGGGCACACTGCCAGTGCCCCGCTCTCTGCAGGTTCTCACAAATTGGACAGAAAGCTTCCTCCTCACTATCCGTTATCACTCTTCAGTCTTCCCTAATCAGTTCCCATTGATTAGGGTTTTCAACTTTCATTTTATTTCTCTCGCTGACCTTTGAGCGCCCTCTACATCTCCCAACCGAGGTAATGTTCTTCACTTTTAGCTCTTGCCGAATATTGCGGTTAGGTACTTATGTTTTTGTGTTTAGCCATTTCTTATATTCGTGCGTGGACTCTCTTATATTTGCAACGAATAATTGATTAACTCATTGTAGGCTTCATTCCTGATGTTTTGAACATTCTGCACAAGATGCACACATTGAAGGGAGCATGGGCTGGGCAGACATTTGCAGTTGTTGCTTGCAATGAATCTGGAGGACGGAAGGCAAGGATAAGGCGCTCAAAGGAGGAGAGGAAATCTATGGTTGAGACTTTTATAAAGAAGTAATTCAGACCATCTATGGGGAGTTTCCCTTAACAAATTTGTAATACCGTGCTCATTTGATTTATCAAAAGTTTGTGTTTGTCATTTCTTTTTGTTAATGACAAGAACATTTTAAAAACTCAAGGGCTTTTGTGTAACAGAACATGATAACTATTGTATAAGATTTAAAAAAAATAGGGAACAAATACAGAAAACGCTTTTCTTGGTCTGTTTGCCGTTTCATTTGATTGCATATCTTTTGTGCAATGCCTTTGTGTGAACATGCTGAACAGGATTATATACCTAGTATGGATTGTAGCTTGTGCGTATGCTAATACCACATGACCCCAACCTACGATCTTGAGATATTAGTGTAGTTCGATACTTATACTGTATCCAACTACACTAATTGGATACTTATACTGTATCCAGAAATTAGTGTAGAATAATGCTTGACAATTAGCAACTACTTCGTTCTCCTGGAATCAGTAATTAGTTGTTCATGTTTCCATTAAATCTAAATGAGCCCTTGTTGAGAAAAAGTTGTTTTTTTGTTATATGGTTTGCAGATATCAGAATTCAAATAAGGGGAGGTTTCCTTCCCTGAATCTTACACACAAGGAAGTTGGTGGCTCTTTCTACATAATACGGGAAATTGTTCGGGAAATCATTCAAGAGAATAGAGTTTTAGGTCCTGCCATGTTGCATTTGGGAGAGCAGGACAATGGAATTCCAGTCTTAGCCTTTCCAATTGAACCCTATTCTTCTTTGTCATCACCAGATGACATTCACTGCCAGAGTACAACCAAAGGAAATGTTTTAGATTCTAACGGACATCTTCATAGTAGTAGGACTGCTAATAACCAGTTAGATGTTGAACAAGTGGTTGTTGTTAGTAGTGACATCATTGGACTAGACAGACCCGAAGATGAACAAAATGTGGATTTCTTTGACAAAGATGAAGTATCTGTAGAACCATTAAGTACAGAGTCATCACCACCAGTAAAGGAAAGTGTAGGAGAGACTGGAGAACTCAAAGGATCAAAAGCAGGACCCAGAACCAAAAATGAACAAAATGTGGAATTTTCTGACAAAGACGATGTATCTGTAGAACCATTAAGTTCAGAGTCATCATCACCAGTAAAGGAAAGTGTAGGAGAGACTGGAGAAGTCAAAGGATTAAAAGCAGGACCCAGACCCGAAGATGAACAAAATGTGGAATTGTCTGACAAAGATGAGGTATCCATAGAACCATTAAGTACAGAATCATCACCACCAGTAAAGGAAAGTGTAGGAGAGACTGGAGAACTCAAAGGATCAAAAGCAGGACCCAGACCCGAATATGAACAAAATGTGGATTTGTCTGAGAAAGATGAAGTATCCCTAGAACCATTAAGTACAGAGTCATCACCACCAGTAAAGGAAAGTGTAGGAGAGACCGGAGAACTCAAAGGATCAAAAGCAGGACCCACACACAAGAATGCTGATGTAGTGGTTGAAATGTTTCCTCTACGTCCCATTTCAATGACATTTGATGACTGGGATGATAATGTAATAAGTGAAACAAGTGGTCAAACATTGCAAATGAATGCAGAAGTGGTGGAAAAGGATAAAGAACTAGCAGTGGCATCACCTTTGAAAATTAGTTCAAATTCTTCCATAGTCACTACTTTAGACTTCAAACTAAAGGATTCATCTGCTCCTGAAATTAAGGTAAGCACCAAGCTTTTTCTGTTTTTCATTTTTTTTAAAGATAGCGTTTCTAGCGTGGTCATGAGATGAAAAGAAGAAGACTGAAAAGTATGGTTGTTGGAAAAATAACACAGCTTCCTGCTCTAGACAAGGAATTGTCCGTTGGTTCCACCGAGCATACAAGAAGAATCGTTTCTCTAGAAATTTGATGATCTTATTAATGGATTTAGCACCTCTATTTATACTAGTCACTAGAGTCATGGTGGTCTAGTATTTGAGTAACCCTAATTCTATTACAACACTTCTATTAGGAATATTAACTAAAATAGAATATCCATACTAATAGGAAACTACAACTAAGAAACAATATGAAACTTATCCTAATACTCAAGGAAACTAATAATAATACTACCTCCGTCCCTTTCCAAGGTTCCAAACCGCTATTCACATGGTCAACTTAAATCATTCTTAATCTTTTGTTTTATATATCAAAATTTTATCAAATTTAAATATTCTTGATCAGGCTTTGTAAATTTTTTTAATGTAGTTTCTGAATATATAAATCTTATTTACTAAAAATAATCAGAGTGTGAAAAGGGTCAAGTTGTTTTATCATTAGTGATTAGTCAAGCATCATAAACCGAATCGGGAACCTCTCTATGGGACGGAGGGAGTAATAGTAATAATAATGGTAACAATAGTAATGATAGTAATAATAGGCTTCTTCTGTCTGTGTCAGTTAGATTCCCTCATTTTACTTTAGGTTGGGTTCTACTGTTCTACATCGCCTACACTTATGATTTGAGTTGCTGGAAATAATTAAGACTTTAGACCTTGTAAACATTTTGTGCCTTTTGGTGATGTCAATATGGATATACTTCAGTGAAGTGATAATGTGATATTATCACTTCTTAATGTTCTTTAGCAGTTTAGTCCTTGGTTCATTGGAAGAATTTGGATTGAAGAATTATAAGTTGAGGAGTGGTGTGTGTTTGATTGTGAAAGTTTTGCAGGACCAGTTATTTCTTAATTTCTTTTTCACGTATTTTTAAAAAAATGTTAAAATTATTATTGTACTCCCTCCGTTCCTATTAAAACTTCCAAGTGGGTTGGGCACACAGTTTAAGATAGTGGGTATCGTGTGGTGGAGAGTTGTGCAGAGGAGAGAGAAATGTGTAAGAAATGTTGTGAACCACAAATTGTTTACCAAAATGGGAAAGTGGAAATTTTAATTGGAACGGACGAAAAAGGAAAGTTGGAAGTTTATTTATGAACGGAGGGAGTATTACTTATACACTTCTTTATTTCTAATCATAACAGAATTATATAAAATAAAATATTCCCTCCTATGGTCCTTTATGGTTCACACAAACCAAGGGAATGATAAAGTCATTCAAATTTAAGAATAATATTCAATTTCCTAAGCAATGTACGAGTCATATGTTTAAGAGTTTTAAAGAGGACCAGTTGTGGAATGAAAAGTTAAATGTTTATAACACCAAAAAAGGCTTATTTAAACCTATCAGATGTCTTATAAACACGATTACATGACAGGAGAGTAAAAAGGGGTGTTAAATATGACTCCATTTTCCTTGCCTCCCCTCTTTGGGCCAAAAGGGGTTGAAGAGTATTTTTAAGTTTTTCCTAAATGAACCATGTAAATGAAATTATAGTCAACTTGCAAATGGAATCTTGAACATTCATCCACGACCATCCTCCTGTTTATTAGCCATGACAACTTGAAGTCATAGTCCACTTTTTTAGTAATTTTCTGATTAGTAACTCCTGATGTTTGAGTTCAACTCAATGTTTGGGGTCAAACACAAATCATTTCTGATCGTATCCCTGAATTACATTTGTCTTCTTTAGAAAGTTTGTCATATTTCTTTTACTTACTTCAATGTTTAAATGATGAGTTCAATGTTTCAAGGATTTCATATTATGTTTATTCTACAGTATTTGATCCAGTAGAAAGTTGACAATACTTCACTATTTCAAGGGCATAGGCAATACCATTTTTATTAATATTTTCTCCTAAATACTTTTTTCAGAACTTGTAATCTCTGTCCAAAAAAAGTTCCATTTCAAAACTTATTTTTGTCTCCACAGTCATGTGTAAACAAAGAAGCAAATTTTCATCTATTCTATACACACACAAATGCTGTAATCTATAATTCTATAAAATTCTAAAATGCGAGATTCATTCCCGACAGGAAAATTTCTATCTTTGCCCCCTCCCCCTACTCCTCCAAGGCATGCTAGCCCAACTTGGAGCTGTGGCTAGGCAGGACAAAATATTGGGACAGGCCAGTAGTCCAGTACAAAGAATTTTTTCATAAAACGTTTACAATTTTTTTTTGCAAACATAAAATATCAGACATTTACCGAAGCTGGGTTTTGGGTTGGGCCAGAATGCCCTTTCCTTGCTACGCCCCTGCCTTGGAGGATAACCAGGTTGCCCATTAGAGCTGGGAGAATCACGGTGAACAACTGCGTTCTGTGAATATAAGTTGGATAAATGATTTACTTGAATTGTATGTTACCAAAACTTGAGAATTGTACCTTGATGAAATAAGACTCTTTAAACATGAAACCTCAAAACAAGATTTTAGTTCTGCTAAAAGATACTACGTATTTTATTTCCACCTAGGAGCTAGATGGCCCACGCCTGCATGGGTGGAACTAGGGGCTGGAGTGAGCTTCCCCCCAAATGAAAAATTATGCGTCTATAGACACACATACTAGTATATACTATATACAAATACTTATGTAGTTACGTATGCATATACACACAAATGCTGTAATCTATAATTCTATAAAATTCTAAACTGCGAGATTCGTTCCCGATATGAAAATTTCTATTTTTGCCCCCTACCCCTACTCCTGCAAGGCAAAATATTGGGACAAACCCGTAGTCCAGTACAAAGATTTTTTCGTAAAAGTTTACAATATTTTTTTGCATACATAAAATATCAGGCATTTAGCGAAGCTGGGGGTTGGGTTGGGCCAGGAATGACCTTCCCCTGCCTTGGAGGATAACCAGGTGGCCCATTAGAGCTGTGAGAATCATGGTGGTACCTGAGCTGTTGCTCTTAAATCCTATAATGTGTATTATATATAGTACAGATTAGTGTAAAAAATGAGAGTTTGTATTCTTTCTGCAGACATTCATCAGTGGGAGTTCTTCCATCAGATCTAACGAGAAGCTTGGTTTGGAGGAGTCTCTTTCATCAATAAATAACAGAGAAGATATTATCAAAGTGAAAAATGGTCCTCCCCCACTTGATAGAATCAATCTGTAAGTCTCCGTCTATGGCATGCACCGGATTTGCTGTTCCGGGTTGACTTGTTATTTTCTTGCAATTATTTTGTCTTCCACTCACTTATTTTTTCCATGTTTTTTTGGAGCAGCGAAACATGGAAAGGGACAGAAGCAGAGACAGCCACCAAACATGACAACAATCCACTTTTGGCTTTATTCAAGTCCTTCCTCACTGCCATTGCTAAAATTCTGCACTGAAAAACAGACTTTCCTTTGAAGTTCTCATCATCATAGTTGCTTCAATCATTAACTTGCGGCTTTCCATGTCATTTACTATGTTATATGCACGAGAAGTGAACAATGTAGACAAGAATGATCCTTTGGTTAGCTTTGACAGTGAAGCATATTATGAGATTGTCTGATTTCTCTTTGGAAGTGTAATCCCACAACGTTGAAATTTATATTTTTGTTGTGAGAAATTTATTACTCCGTATTATTAAAAATAATTTCTTATGAACACTGGACAGCAAAATAAGGAAAAGCTTTTTCTTAGTTAAAACATAAAAGGGCACTAGACCAAGTTTTCCGTATGGATGAATGATGATTTAGAGTATCTTTGATGCTACGATGTGCAGTATGCACATGTGTCATGAGAGATGGCCACATAAATATTAACAAATAAATTATCTCTCTTCATCTGAATGCTTTTATACAATTTTAATAAATTTCTATGCAATGTCAACTAGAATATCAACATCTAGATGATCTTCTTGGCATTGAAGAAAAAACTTACCACAATTGTATAAAATCATTCATGTGATTTTATTTGCTAATATTTACGTGGCTCTCTTATGACACATGTACATCGTGCACATTGTAGCATTGCAAATGCTTTTACAAAAGGAACAAAGATGTGGAAGTTCTGGTATTGGAAATTGGTCTCACGTAGACATTCAGTTAGATTGGCTTACACAGACTAGACCAGATAAGGCTTACACAGACTAGATCAAATCAAATAAAAACAGTTGTAAAGTACACATAAACTAGACATATAACAAAATAGATTAAATCAGACTTAAATATACTAGATCAAATTGAATAAGAAATGTCAGTTCAATTAAAAACATTGCAATTGCTAAGCCAATCAGGCATCGCTAAAACTATCCGTCCAATTAAAAACATTCCAATTTGAATAATATACTTTCATTTTACATGTAAAATTACTGTCATTTGCAAGAAAATCCATCAAAATTTTATGATTTTTTATGCGGCCCAATCATCGATCATCAGTTCAACTAATTTAACGAATCGCGATTTAATTTGTTGCTCTCCGAACGGTGTGTATAGCTTCGTTTTCTATTTTGCTGATGTTATAAGAAAGAGTGGGGCATTGGAAATGAAATAAAGCGATGGATTAATTGAAGATCATTAATGGGGCCGGGTTGTGTTCTAAAGTAGATAGATGGGCAACGGTTAAATTCAAGATCCATTTAATGACGCATCCTCATCCACACATTTTTTTGGGATCATTTTGAAAGATTTTTTACAAGGTTAGTTTGAAAAATAATGAGTGTGTCAAATATCAAATATCAAATCTGGATTATTTAAGATTATTCTCAAACTTTAGACTCTTCTTCAACTTCCAATACATTCACACGTAGGGTTCGTTGTTTTTGTATTGAATTAATAAAGTGTGAATAAAGTAAGAATGAATTCTAACCACTCAAATATATATGAGACAAACTTAATAGGATGGACGAAAAGGGCAAAACGGGACAAAGTTAAAATACTCCCTCCGTCCCTTAAAACTTTGCCATCTTTCCTTTTTGGGACGTCCCAAAAAACTTTGCCACTTTCCCTTTTAATCAATTATTTTGTGGTTTCTATTATTCTCTCTCCTCTGCACAAACTTCAACCACACAATTTTTACTTTATTATTCTCCGTGCCGGTCAACTTTGATAAAGTTTTAAGGGATGGAGGTAGTATCAATCACGCAATTCTACTTTTTCTTATTTTAACATACTTTTATTACTTTACTTTTGTTATTTTCAATATATTACTACCTTCCTCCGTCCCTTAAAACTTTGTCAAGTTTGACGGACACGAAGATTAATTAAGTAAAAACAGTGTAGTTTAGATCTGTACAAAAGAGAGAGAATTAACTGGAACCACAAATTCTTTACTTAAAAGAAAAAGTGACAAAGTAAGTGGAACATCCAGAAAAAGAAAATTAGCAAAGTTTTAAAGGACGGAGAGAGTATTTTACTAGCAATTAAATTAAATGACAACGCACAATTTAATTTATTCCGTATTAGATTGGTTAATTTATTCCGAATCAAAGACGGTGATAGAGTTGACGAGGGCCTCAAAGAGTAAAATTGTAATTTCAAACAAAAATTTAGTTTTATGGAACTAAGACAAATAAACACTTACATTATTTTAATCCTTACCATTATTATTTTTATCCAATTTATTAATATATTTCCCCAAACAGTTAATTTTACCTCACGATCTTAAACAACTAATGCATAGTCCAAACAACTAATACAAACAGTTGATTAAAACCGCTAATATAACCCGCTAACATCTAACAGCTAACTGTCGATTACCAAACATGGTCTAAATGTTTATACAAATTGTGTTAATGTGTTATATGTTAGCCCTTAGATCCCGGTCCACCCAAATTTTGTTATGGAGGAATTAAGGATGTTTTTACTTGGACATAAATTTTTTGATCTGGTCTGATCTAAACTGGTCTGATAAACGTGTGATCTTTTTGTATTTTATAATTATTTAAGTCTGATCTGACCTGACCTGACCTGATATGATTTGACACCGAAAACAGCCGAGGCAAAGGAAAAACATCCAAAACATTCCGTACATTTGAAGACCAAAGAAGGCAAAGATTACTGAATTACAAATCAATGTAAGGCCACGCATGTAGGCTGTAGGCATGTAGCCGAAGGGCTACAGGTAATAGTGTAATACCCCTTTGTCCAAGTTATATTTTTTAATTTTTTATTTTTTGATAATCCAGGTGTTGGGGCTTACGTTCTCATAATCCTGGAGTCTATGAACTACTCTCCCAAGCTCCTAGACAATTAATCCGGATCTGATCACAGTCAACCTCGTCAGTACTGGCTCCAAAGGACGAATCCAGCAGGACTTACATCACATTTCAGGCTGCTCCTCCCACCACAAGAACCCTCTACCTTCATTACCATTCTCTCTCTTCTCGGCCGCTGAGCAACTCCGTGAAGGTAGGAAGAATCATTGGGAGCAAAACCTCCCTCCTCTCCCCTAAATGTGCCTAGCGGGATTCGAACCCTAGACTTCCGCTAGGACACGGTAACCTTCCACCCAGTGAGCTGGAATGGTTGGTTTTGTCCAAGTTACTTTACTCGTCTTGTTTTTATTTCAAAGTTTGATTTTTTAACAGAACAAATGTGATTTACTACGTATATAATTGGGATGTTACTCTAAATAGGAGTAAAAACATTGTGTGTTTCAAAATATGATTGTCAATTTTTTTCTCCTTAAATATGATTAATTACAGGTATATTTTGACTTTAATAGACTTAAACATGACAATATTTTCGAAATTTGACAATAATTACTCATATTTATGAAATAAAAACATGATAATTCTATTTTGAAATTCTCAATTATTTTTACTTCTATTTCAGGAATTTTCCAATCTCATTCGATTCTATTCTATTTAAACCTAAATCACATTTTTATTTTTCAATAATTCCAAATAACTGCTCGACAAGAGTATTAGATTACATAATATTTTTAATTTGAAGCGATCTCTTTTATTAATTGGAATAAAATGCTTAATGGAATGCCTTATCATGATAATATCACTATTTTAAGTCATCCATATGTCATTTTTCACTTTTCCATAAACACGTACCATACCTTAGCAATGTTAAAAAATGATAGCACTCCATCTCTCAGACTCCTAACACTTGTAGAGCAGTTATTTGGAATAATGTAATGTAAATTAGAGTTTAATCAAAGTCTGACAAATAGCGAGTGATACTCTCCGACTCAATTATTTACATAGATCATATACATTTCTACATAGTAACATCTCATTAAAATTGTCGGGATCCAAACCCGAGACATGTCCCTTGTGTCACCCTTATCTACCGGCTGAGCTACGTCTACCAGCCTAAAAATGGTAGAGATAACATAGACATGGGCAGATCTACGGGGCAACCTACACCCCAGTCCATCCAAATTTAAAAAATGCCTATGAGGTCTCATGACTTTTTTCTAAAAAAAAGCTTTCTACTTTAAAATTATGGTATAGTAAATATTTTATTTTTGAAGATAAGTTAAAATTGGTACAAATAAAAAAGGGAAAAATTGAAAGTAATAATCCCAACTATTATCGGTCCGCTATTAGTAATCCCAACTATCGATTATTCCTGGGTGGTCCCAACTATAGGGATTATTTTCCAAAAATAGTCCCTAACTTGCTACGACCTGGTATAGCAGGTCAAATTTAAATGCGAACTATGCATAAGCTCTAAATAATCCCAACTATAGTTGATTTTCTTTTATTAATCCCAATTATCAACTCTCAGTTTTAGAAAAATATAAAAATATTTTTATAAATTTTCAAATTAAATATTTTTAAACATGTAAAAATTATTATGAAAATTCAACAAATGTACCAAAGTTAAATAAAATAGTTTTAGTCATTTTTTATTTATTTTCACTACTTTGTTTTCTTATTTCCAATTTATTATTCCCAGTTTAGTTAACAAGTTATGATTTGGTATTATTTTCCTTTATTCAATTTTGGTTTTCAAAAAGTAATATGTGACTAAATTTTTTTATGATTGAAAGCTTTATTTTAGTTTTTTTCATGAAAATATATTTTATTTAAATTTTATGCTATGTTTATTCTAAAAATCTAAATGCTCTATTTTATCCATTTTAGTATTTGTAATTTCTTCTATTTTTTATTTTATATTATTATATTCTATAAATTATACTCCCTCCGTCCCAAAAACAACTTCCCACTTTCGTTAAATGGATGTCCCAAAATTAACATCACACTTCTTCCAACTTCCTTATTTGGCAAATTATCTACATCAAAACAGTGCAAAACAGTGTCAAACAGTGTCAAACAGTGCTAAATAGTGTCTAAACAGTGTCCAAACAGTAAAATTTACCCTCAGTAAGTTTATTTCCTTAATATGTGTGGAAAACGAAGCGTGAAGTTGTTTTTGGGACGGAGAGAGTATGAAATAGTTTATCGTTCAATTTTAGTGATTTGGGGTATACGTTTTGGAGGTCTTGGCTATTTTTAATGAAAATGTATTAATATTGTAATTTTAAATGATATAATGGAAATTGTAAAATATGTAGGAAAAAATGTATCGCTTAAACTTAAAATATTAATACATTTTCATTAACATAGCCAAAACCTCCATATCTTATGTCCCAAATCACTATATCATATAATTTATAGAATATAATAACATAAAATAAAGATAGCATAACAATTTAATAAAATTGATTTTCATGAAAAAATATAGAATAAAGATTTAATTCGTAATTTTTTAAATCACAATATACTTTTTGAAACACAAAATGTAAAATTGAATAAAGGAAAATAATACAAAATCATAACTTGTTAAAGAAACTAGGAAAAATAAATTGGAAAAAAGAAAAAAATGAAATTTTAGTGTATATAAATAAAAAATGACTAAAATATTTTTATTTAAATTCAATACATTTGTAGAGTTTTCAAAATTATTTTTACATGTTTAAAAATATTTAATTTGTCAATTTATAAAAACATTATTATATTTTTTAAAATTGAGAGTTGATAATTGGGATTAATAAAAGAAAATCGACTATAGTTGGAATTATTTATAACTTACGCATAGTTCACATTTAAATTTGACCTGCTATACCAGGTTGTAACAGGTTAGAGAGTATTTGGAAAATGGCCCCCAATAGTTAGGATCACCCAGAAATAATCGATAGGTGGGATTATTAATAACGGACCGATAATAGTTGAGATTATTATTTTCAACTTTTCTAATAAAAAATTAAATTAAACCACTTATTAGACGTTGATGAGACATTTCACGAGAAGAGAATCCCGTGCTAAATCAAGACAAACACTGCACTAATGTAACTCAATTAGGAACAAATTGCATGTTGATATAAATAGTGATGAGTCACTCACCTGTACGGAGTACATAGATTAGGAATATATCATTCGTGTATCGCTCTACCAGCTTTCATAGTTTCATGTGGCCGCACAATTAGGTAGGTATCCTATGCAAATTGTGACAGCGACTCACATCAACAACCACAATAATCTACCCACAATAATAAACAAAAATGGGCTGTGTAAACGGTGGATTACACAACCGTGGACACATCATATTGAAGTAGTGTTTATTGATACAACGATGATACACACTCTTATACACACTTTATACACATCATTTTTGTGAAGCTTTTTTTGTCTGTGAATCCGAGTCACAGACAAAAAAAGCTTTCACAGACATAGATGTGTACAAAAGTTTGTATAAGAGTGTGTACAAACATCATTTTTGTTATTGATATATTTTGAGTTACACGATACATGCATATATAGTGAGCTATACAACAGAATTAGTTATCTACAATTGAGGAGCTAATTACGTGATAAGCATGACTCGTATTAGCTATCTACCGAATGAAATAATGATGAAACAATAATAATAAATGAATAATAATAATAATAATACCTCCGTCCCACAATTAATTTCCCATTTCGGATAACGATGATTGACCGACGATAAAGTAACTCGATCCCTGTTCATACTCAGATTACTTTTAGTAAATAAAATTTACATATTGAGAAACTACATTAAAACTGCTACAAAGGCTGATAAAAGAATATAAATTTGATAAAAATTTGATATATAAAACATAAGATTAAGAGTAATTTAAGTTGACCATGTGAATAGTGATTGTGAAGTTCATTTTGGGTCGGAGGGAGTAATTACTAGTGTCTAATATGCCCCCTCAAGATGGAGTGTCCGTTGGAGACTCCCAGCTTGGACCAGAATCTTGTAAACAGTTCCGCACCTAACGGTTTGGTGAGAATATCTGTAATTTGAAGTTTAGTTGAAATGTGACATACTTTCAGTTGACCTTGCTCCACCATATCCCGCACAAAGTAATAATCTAAAGCAAGATGCTTCATACGTGAATGAAAAACGGGGTTGACACAAACATATGTGGCCCCTTGATTATCACAGAAAAGCGTGGGGACTGTGAGTAAGGATATGTCAAGCTCCTGTAGAAGGTGTTTAACCCAAATGATTCCAGCACTAGCGTGGGCAACCGCCCGATATTTAGCCTCCGTCGATGAGCGGGATACACATTTTTGCGGGTATGGTACTTTTACTTGAACCTCTTTAAAGAGGTCTAGAAACTTGTTGAAGTCCTCAATGTCACTCTTCCCCTTTAAGCGTTGCGGGTATGAGAGGGGTGGGTTGTAAGCTTTGATTGAAACAGGTTGCTTTGGGACTGCGTCCCCCTCCTCCTTCTTTTCTTCTTCCTTCTTCTCCTCAAGAACAACTGCATCAGGTTCAACGTCTTCAACTTTCTTCTTCATGGCAGCAAACTCCAGACCCTGTCCACTCCTCAGTGTGATTGTGTGAACTTGCTCTCTTGGATTTGGTTCAGTGTTGCTCGGGAGGGATCCCATAGGCCTCTTAGAAACGACATTTGCGAGCTACCCCAACTGAATTTGCATGTCCCGAATACTTGACTGCGTTTCTCGAATACTCGACTGCGTTGATTGATCTCTAGCCGCAGTCACTTGAATGAATTGCTCTAGTGTCTTCTCTAAGCTAGAAAGTTTATGCTCAACCTCATTTCTTTGTGACTGGAAGTGTTGTGCTTACTGTTGAGATTGAGGCTGATTATAGTTCTGGAACTGCTACTGCTGACCCAGGTATCAGTTAATCTAGATATTGAGTATACTGAATAGGCATTGACCTAGGGGAGAAGCAATTGGAATAAAATCCTAAATCACTTAATTACCCGCAACATTGCTATGAGCATGACAAGAAGACCATAGGAACCTATCCCACCCGTATATACCTGAAATGAATGAGGACTCAATGTCAAAAAAGAATTGAAAGTACTATGTCAAATGATGGCACACTCGGCAGCCCCCGGTCCTATTAGTCCTTCTTGTACTAACTGTGGGGGACTCCATTGGCCACATGAATGCAATATGATGGCACACTCGGCAACCCCTGAAGTGGAGCAAGCTGACGCGATGTACTTGCAGAGGCAGGGCTACTACAATCAGCCCTACGGTCAGCAGTAGCAGTTCAAGAACCATAATCAGCCCCAATCTCAACAGCAAGCACAACACTTCCAGTCACAAAGGAATGAGACGAGCATAAACTTTCTAGCTTAGAGAAGACACTAGAGCTATTCATTTAAGTGACTGCGGCTAGAGATCAATCAACACAGTCGAGTATTCGAGAAACACATTCAAGTATTTGGGACATGCAAATTCAGTTGGGACAGCTTGCAAATGCCGTTTCTAAGAGGCCTATGGGATCCCTCCCGAGCAACACCGAACCAAATCCAAGAGAGCAAGTTCACGCAATCACACTGAGGAGTGGACGGGATCTGGAATTTGCTGCCATGAAGAAGAAAGTTGAAGACGTTGAACCTGCTGCAGTTGTTCTTGAGGAGAAAAAGGAAGAAGAAAAGAAGGAGGAGGGGGACGCAGTCCCAAAGCAAACCGTTTTAGTCAAAGCTTACAACCCACCCCTCCCATGCCCACAACGCTTAAAGGGGAAGAGTGACACTGAGGAATTCAACAAGTTTATAGACCTCTTTAAACAAGTTCAAGTAAACTTACCATTCATGGAGGCGCTGAACCAAATGCCAAGGTACGCAAAGTTTATGAAGGAACTCCTCTCCAACAAAAGAAAGTGGGGAGAACCAAAATCGGTGCTGCTGAATGATGAATGCTCGGCGGCGGTGTTGAAAGAGGTGCCCAAAAAGCTCTAGGACCCAGGTAAGTTTACAATCCCTTGTTCCATAGGATGTACGATTTCCAATAATGCGTTAGCTGATTTGGGTGCAAATATTAATTTGTTCCCTTCTCTTTGTATGCGAAGCTTGCACTCGACCCACGTAAACCAACACGTATGTGCATACAATTGGTTGAACGCTCAGTTAAATACCCTCGGGGGATTGCTGAAGACGTATTGGTTAAAGTGGACAAGTTTGTGATTCCGGTTGACTTTGTTGTTTTGGATATGCCCCAAGATTTTGATGTGTCCTTGATTCTTGGAAGGCTTTTTCTAACCACTGCTCAGGCCCTCATAGATGTTGGGGAAGGGAAATTGATTTTGAGGGTTAGGGAGGAGAAAGTTACTTTTTGCATGGTCAAGCTGGCAAAACAATCCTGTCAAGATGTTAATGAGTGCTTTTTGTTAGATGCCATTGATCCACCTGGAGAGGAGGGGGGAACCCCCATTCCAGTGAAATACCAGGTCGAATCCACAAGGAAACGTTGTTTAATTCAAGTCCGAGAGTAGATAACTTTAAATGAATAAATGAGTAAAGTGCAGGGATTTTGATTTGTGTTTTATATTTTTGGTTTTTTTCACGTTTTGTTGAAGAAGATAATTGTTAACTAATTTTGAGTTTAAGATAAATAATAAAAACAACTAAGGCTTCAGGAATCACTTAAATGCTTAAATAGGGTTGAATATTAGTTCTTTGCCAATAATTATGAATACGATGTCGCTAATATATTCTCAACTCCGGTTAAGGCAACGACAGTGTGGTTTTCGTTATGTGTAAGTCCCGTTACGACTTACATTCATCTATCGAAAACCCCGTTGAATATCAATACATCACACCCATATCATATAAGACCGGATATATTTTTATTCTCGGTACTATATATGTTTATCCTTTAATGTTCATAGTTTAGACTTCAACGTTAATTGCAAGTATAAACTAAATTTAACATACTTCTATGTTGTACACCATAGTCATAAACAATCAATATGTAAAGGATAAATCACAATTTATTGGTTTAGAACTTTTATCAAACACCCAGTGGGCATAGAAGTTCATCCCTAGCCTTAGCTAAGAATTTAGCTACTAATGCTCATATTAATTACAAAAGTGTATATTAATAACATACAAGAAAAATTACCTAGAACCAATTGTAGAGGAGAGAAATAGCTTCTTCTCCAAAAGAACTTGAAGAAAAATAGCAAGAACAAATATAAAAACTAGGAATTGATCTATGGAATGGAATGTCTTTGTTTGATGAATTGAGGACTTTATATAGGCTAAAGAATGGCATTTTTAGTCTATTCGAGCCCAACAATCAGGTATGGAGCAATATTTGATCAAGAAATGAGGAAGATGGAGTTTTCCCATAAAAAATCCTCTTGCACGTTGCTGCATTTTAGCAGAATCAGGTTTAACCGGCGCCGGTTATAGGCTAACCCGGCGGTGGTCTTCTTCGTTTCGCAGCAAAATATGGAATTTTGAGATAATCGGCGCCGGTTATAGGGGTAACCCGGCGCCGGTTAAGCTACTGGTTAGCCCACTGCCGCAGCAAAAACACATAACCGGCGCCGGTTATAAGGTTAACCCGGCGCCGGTTTACACCTTTTGTGCTGTATTCCGCTTTTCGCTTCGTTTGACGTCCGTAATTGACCCCAAAGTGCCGTTGACTCCTGTTTGTTTATCTTTGATGCCTTTGTGCGGTTTTGCTCGAATTGTGATTTTTTTACCTGTTTTATCTTTTAATAATTGTACAGATAATCCTAATTACCTATATAAGATATAGGCAATTATCGTGCTTATCAAATTCCCCCACATTTGAGCCTTGCTAGTCCTCGAGCAATGTTGTCACTTTTTTATATGCCTTGGTTAGTTCAACAAATACATATGCACAAGAATATTTGTAGTATCAAGAGAGGTAAAAACGTATATAGACTCTTTTATCGTTCTCGGTCCAAAACCCTTTTTCTATGACACACACAAAAATATCATTAGATTTAGAAAAATTACTTATACTCTTGAATTGAGTAGTGGGTTGTGACTGTTTTTTTTAGATGTGTAGGATGGGTTTCTTTTGGGATTTTTTGACTTTTCAGTATAGCAATGGATCAATTGAAATTCTTGGAGGAGACCATGAGCTTTTTTTTAACTCTGTTGGAATGGTTCTCAACAAGTATTTACTGAAAGTCATTTTTGATAGTCCCAATTTATTTGATGAGATATGTGGGTGGCTTGAACTCCAAAATGGTTTTTTTTTGAATATTTGAGATGTATCTAAACCATTTTGGGAGATGAAAGAAGATGATGTTTCTTAGTCACAGGTTTCTTTTTGGGAATGATTTACAAGAGTAAGAAGTAGTGTAATAAATCTAAAAAATGATAGTTTTGTGAGTAATAAAAGAAAAACTTTCTCAACCAAACACCCGTTAAAAAGAGAGATATAACAATTTTTACCTTCTTAAAAACAAAAATATTTTGCACAAAAAATTTGTTTAACCACCATGAGATGCACCCCCACACTTAAGATACATTGTCCCAATGTATGATGCAGAATAAACAAACACTTCCAACAACATCCACGATTAAGTGTGTTTAGAGAAGAGTAAAGTTATGAAATATCAGCAAAGGGATGCTTAATGATGTGGTCGGGAGGAGGGTACCTGTATTGGTTGTAGTAGTGTTGGGTGAAGTCCCCAAACCTTTGATCATACCCCTGGAATTGCTCCTCCATCCGCACTTGGCGAGTCTCAAAAGAGTCAAAACGGGTGTAGAGTTCTTCTTGTCGGGTACACATGTCATGTTGCCGTGCCTCATATGTGTCCATCTGCGTGTGCATGCAATCCATGGATTGGATCACATATGCCATCGCGGGGTCAGTAGCCTGTGGGGGAACTTGTGGGACGGGTACGACTTCCCCCTCCTGGTCATCCTCCATAGCCTCGTCTTCTTGAGCTTCTTCTACCTCGTCATCATCTCTGTCCAAACCTATCCTTCGAGAAAATACCACTTCCCGGAGTTGGACAATTTGTGTTTGAGGGCTCTCATGGTGTCATTGTTTAGAACATTAGAATCGGAAGTATAAACAACTTCCTCGCCATAAAAAACAACCCGAAAGTGCCTGAAAATCTTAGTCAATAAAATAGGGTGACAAAATAAATTTTCACCTTTTTCGGAGAGGACCAAAGTTTTCATGTTTTTGAGGATGAGACGGGGTAGTGGTATCCCTTCAGTTTCTCCTAGCCCGACTAGCATCTTGTAGAGAAGGTATAGACCTATTTTCCGGACTAGGTTGCGATCGCTAGCCCGGGGGACAATGTTGAACCCAATGAGGTAGACGATGAGGCGCGCATGGATATGCCTTAAATATTTGGTTTTTAGGCTCTTTTTGAGCCCAAAGAACTGTCGTGCCTCAATCTCATTGTACGTGTTGTCGCTGAGGATGCCATGTTGATTATACTCCTAGGAAGGACCATCATTGCTAACCTCAAGGATGCTAGATAGGAGGTCCGGATCAAACTTGATGCATCTTCCTTTGACCGTTGTTTTGATCTCCGCATATCCAGTGGTTTTGTCGGTGATATTGGCATAAAACTCCCGAACCAACCGGGGTAGTATGCACCCGTCAAAGTTAACATCATCGCCCATCCAAGTTGTGCAAATGCTGCGGTGAGTGAGAACACATTGTCAACCTCAGGATGAACTGTTTTCTCCTCCACAATACCCCATTTTTTTCTTGCCTCGTACCACTCCTCGTTTTCACGGGAAGTGAAATGAGTGTTGGAGTATGAGGAGGATGAGGCACCATCGTTTTGTTTCTTTTCGGAGGCATCCCTGCAAGGTTAGAAGGGAATACAAACACCATACCAACAACTTCATCAATTCAAGACATTTTTCTTAAATTTTTCATGAATTTTCCAAAATTTCAAAATTAATGAAACAATTAGGCTTTGAATGTTTATATATCAACACAAAGTATTTCAATCCCATTCTAATCATCAATTGTAGCAAAAAATTTAAGATTAATCAAGAAATTCGGACCTAGGGTTCAAATGATTTTTTTTCGAGAACTTCCCCCAATTTTCAACTATAATCGCAAAGTTTTTGGCAAGAATCATATTTGTACACATCAAATGAGTATAAAAAATCAATATTCACCAAGTACAGACACATATCTTGCCAAAAATTTGAAAAAGGGTTGAAAAAAATTCGAAATTGCATAAATTTGGGGATAATAAGCTTAATACCTTAAATTCATGGAAGAAGAAGCTTTTGTGAGTGGTATGGAGCCTTGAGATGGATGAATTTGGAGCTTTTCAACCTTAGGGATTGATAGTTATGGAGAAAGGGGGTTTGGGTGTCGTTCTTTTGAGCTCTCTTTCGGACTTAGGTGTTGTTGGCGTGAGAAAAGAACGAAAAACGGGGCTGGGTTTCGTTTTTAACAGGATAACTGGCACCGGTTATGAAGGGTAACCCGGCGCCGGTTAAGCTACTGCCTCCCTTCCTGATTCCAAAATTAAACATAACCGGCGCTGGTTATAAGGTAACCCGGCGCTGGTTATAAGGTAACCCGGCGCCGGTTAAGCTACTGCTGGGATTTTTTTGTGTTCAATTATAAATAGAAATGAATATGTGTAAACATACTTATTTGTAATTGATTTTTGTTGAGTTGCCTCCCAATTAGCGCTCAGTTTAACATCATAGGCTGGACGCAACGTACCTTTTATTCCTCCAAAGGGCAAACGGTGGTTGCCGAGGTGATATGATACTCCATGTATGGCTTGAGTCGGTGACCATTTATAAGAAAAGGTGTTTGGTCACTGTGTTGAATCATCATTGACCTGTATGGTCGGACCTCGGTGATTGTGAATGGTCCCGACCATCGGGATTTGAGTTTTCTGAGAAATAGACGAAGTCTTGAGTTGAAGAGTAGTACCTTTTGCTCAACGTAGAAGTCCCTTCGATTGATGTTTTTGTCGTGCCATTCTTTGGCTTTTTCCTTGTAGATGCGAGAGTTCTCATATGCGTCCCTTCAGAGCTCTTCTAGCTCATTGATTTAGAGTATCCTTTTTTCTCTCCCAAGTATGGTGTCAAGATTTAGTTGGGAGATAGCCCAACGAGATTTGTGCTCAAGTTCCACGGGGAGGTGACATGGTTTTCCATAAACGAGCCGGAAAGGGGACATACCGAGTGGAGTTTTAAAGGTCGTTCGGTATGCCCATAAGGCATCATCAAGTTTTAGAGACCAATCTTTCCTTGAAGAATTGACCGTCTTCTCAAGAATGGATTTAATTTCCCAGTTGGAGTCCTCGACTTGACCATTAGTTTGAGGATGGTAAGTGGCTCCGGTCTTGAACATGCATCCATACTTATTCAAGAGGCCGACAAAATGAGCATTTTTGAAATGAGTACCATTATCGCTAATGATACTTCTAGAAACCCCAAATCTTGAGAAGATGTTCTTTTTCAAAAACTCCACCACTGATTTAGCGGTGTTATCCGGTAGAGCTATGGCCTCCACCCACTTGGAGACATAATCAACAACAACAAGAATATATTCCTTGCCATGAGATTTAGGGAAAGGACCCATGAAGTCTATTCCCCATACATCAAAGATTTCTACCACAAGAATCATATTTTGTG